TACAAATCCCGAACGTAAAAGCATCATCGTACACCTAAACGAGCAATCAGAATAACATCGAACGAATACCTAATAATTTTAATCCAAGCGCAAAGAGGTATTAACCTTCGCATCGTTAAAACGAAGGCAGCGTGTAGGGTCAAACGGGTAGTTGATGGTCGGACAGACCGATCGTTTTCACATTAATTTCGCGAAGGCAAGCACGATAGAAGAGAGGAGCAGGATCTCGTCGATCGTAGAATTTGAAACGCTGCCCGATCGATCTATCATCGGTTTCTATGTCGTTGATCCCTTCGCATCATCCCGGTGGAACGCTTTTGTACTTACGGCTGCTATTTGTTGAGGAGTCCACAAAGCGTACTTGCACGCTTCGTTGTTGACACTCGACCTAAATAAAGCACCGTCCACAATGAGACGCGATACCTATACTCTTGTTCCGTGCGAACAGGCTTTCCTGGCCATCATATGCGGCCAGCGACACAGCACCAGAACTACGGAAGAAGGAACGAGACAGGCTGATCGAGTCGTAGCAATTGACGATTGTCCTACAGACCAGACGGTAAATTGCGTTAGACGATTCTTCGGCGAATGTACATGCCGCTTGGCTAGAACGCGACCATTCGTTCGGAATAGAGGGTGATTGCCAACGAGATAGAAACTCGAGACACATGGCCGGGAAGAAAAGCAGGAGTACAACGTTTTTCAAGCTAAATAAGAGAGAGAATCGTGTAAAGAAAGTATAATAAAATTCATATTAAAGGAAAAACGTAAAACACAGACACAGAGGATCTGCAGACTTTGTAGAACTTGCGAAATCCTTAGAAGGAATAAGCGTGCTATCTTGAAGACCATAAATGACACTCGGAAGTAAATTGGATTCTACGCGAGCTATCATCGAACGAGTCGGACAGAGGATCTGCAGCGCTTTTGAATAAACGTCGCATTGTACAAATATATAATTGTATCACGAAGAAGGCTTTCTTGCGATCGAATATCTCGAGAATTTGCGAACCTGGCTGACGATGAGTTAATTTCAAAGTGACTTACAGAACGTATCTCATGTTGTCAGATCAATTGGAACGAAACTTTACTTATGTAACTTACGTAACCAAAATTTAAAGCTAACTCTTCGCTACATCATTCGTCTAATATTTTTCGTTGTTCTTGGACTTCAAGAGATATAAAGAAATTTTGGATTACTCGATGTAGTCTTTGCTATATCGCACAATCAGTTTTTAGGCCAAATCTTTGAAAGTTAAGTCTTAGGTTGAAAAATTAACGAGTGAAACGTCACTCAGAGTGATAAACGATCCAAGTTGCCTGTGGTGGGTTGAGATTTCACCACGAAATAATCACTTCCTGAGTCTGAACAAATATTTTACTCGTAACATCATCTTCCCCTCTTACTGTCGAAATTTCGATTAATTATACTTGAAGACCAAAGTCTATAATTATAACGTTCAAAAAGATAAAAGCTTTGAACCCTCTGTACGTTTATTGCCTTCCATGCGATAAGATTTACGAAACAAATTCACGAATTCACAGAATCGATAGGAGGACACGTTTTTATAGAATTAATTTGCTGTATTAATTTCGGTCAGCGCAGAAAGGTGTACCTTGATTTGATTTACATTACATTAATTTCGTACACGTTAAATTAATACCGCGTCCGTTTTGTTTACCAAGCGACAGGGTATTGAGAGTCGCGCTACACTTCGCAGAAATGTAAGTGAATCGCCGGCAATTAATTAAATTAATTAATTTCGTGATATCGCGCTGCGTACCTCCGTGTTTTCCGGCTTGTAAATTGCTTAGCATAATTGTTGCGTTTACTTTCATTACTAACGTCATTACGATCCTGACACTGGTATCTCGTTTGATGAGTTGTTTTTCATGTTTTACGTTGCACGTAAATATTGCAATTCGTATTTTTATCGTGCACAGGTATTTGCGATTGTTGTTTAAAACTGGTTCGTTTCGATAAAATAATAAAGTTTTGATCAATGTTCGTTATAATAGATATTAACTTACGTATGGATAAATCGTTACGATATTCACTTACTGACGCGATTGTTTCGCATTTTGTTGCTTCCTACAATTTATTTTTACATCGAAAAATACTTATTTCTAGTGTCTCTATGCGAGTGACTATATTTCTATCGTAAAAGCTTCATCTTTTCTTCACACTTTTTGTAATAAAACCACTAACTTGTATCTTTGATCTGAATTAAAATCTATTTACACACACATACACAAAGCTCCGCGATAAAATTCTGTTAAATTTGAAAGAAATTGCAACTGCACGAGTCGCGAGTTCGTGAAAGAACAGAATTCTCAAGATCGGTCGTTGAGCACAATTCTCTCAGAACTATGTCCAACACGAAAACTTGTGGCAGCTTTGATGCGATTCATAGGATGAAATCGCCTTTAAAATCTCCTCGGTAGTATCGGCAGCATCCTCGGCGATGTAAGCAGGAAACACATTCGCGACGACTCTCGTTTTGAATAAAATTTATTAGTTCGAGCGTATTCATGGCATCACGGGTGGATTTTCCGTTTCGAACGTTCGGAACATCACGCCGGGGAACTCGAGTTTTCGATTTGATAAAAGTGGGTCAGCGAGATTTCGCTTGTTTCCTCTGTCGTTTTGTAAAAGGAGACGAGGACGGAGCGACGACCGTGGTTTGAACAAAAAGGCCAGATGCAAATTGCTATTCTTCTTTCGCTCTGCTTCTGTCGACTCGAGTGGCATCGCTAAACCGACAAATCAGTTCGCGTGGGTCGTGAGTTTACATTGGAGAATTGCGAACGTTCGCTTACCGGTAGCGGAGCGGGTTTTGCACGTGAGCGGGTGGAAACAGCATCGAAAAGAACGACTTCTTGTCAGTCGGTCGGTCGTGGCGCGAACGGAATGTAAACCGGACCGGTTTCCGGTTTCTCTCCTCTCCTTTTGTTTGCATTTCCGGCCTCGTGGATAAAGCGGCCAAAAACCAGCGAATTTCCCCAACTTTTTCAACCATTTCCACCGAATTTCTCTGGCGTTTACGTATACTTCTTCTTTTTGCCGCTTACCTTCAAAATTATCGCGTAGTTAATTCTATGTTTAGGTAGTTTATTTTATGTTTAACTGTTAGAGGAGAGTTGATCCCTTTTTTTCTTTTTTGTGTGTTTGGAGTGATCGTTTAGATCCTGGAAAATGAATTTCACACAATGTTACAAGATATCGATCATTTCGTCATCTGCACTTTAAGTGCACGGAAAAAAAAAATTTTTTTTTTCCCAGCGTTAAAAATTCCGCGAATCTTAAGATTCTCTTCGTCTTAACATTCTCCCCGTTCAATCGACGAATCGTCGTTTCGCCGAACAATTCCAACAAGGATGAATTCTCCAGAATTTAAATTAGAATTAGAATCCGTTATACTCTCCTTCATTCCAATCCACCGGATTGTCATACTTCTTTCATTTTTGTGGAATCGTCGCGTTCCATCGTCGTTTGGACGAACTTTCAACTCGTCG